AATGTTTTCAGAAATAAATATAAATATAATATGAGTAAATATAAATAATGTAACATAAGTAAGGTATGTAAACATAAATATATAATATAGAAATATCATAAATGTACATTCTGACCTAAGAGTATTATTTTAAGAATAGATTATTTTAAATGCCTTATAAATATAAAATTTCAGTAATAAACACAACCAGAGCACAATGATTAGAAATAAGAATCCTTCTGTTATGAAATTAACAAGAATATTATTTTTCCCTACTAATAAGATTGTGAGAATCTTCTCCCACCACTGAATTATATTTAGTTGTCCTAGCAGAGGTTTCCTAGAATAGTCAGCACTGTGTTCAGATGGCACAGTTGTTTACAGTAGTTCATTCTCAGGAAGCAGATCCAGGAAACAGAAATCTAATCACATTTGAAAGCTTTGTTTCTGATGCACTATAATAAATTACAAAACTGGCTAGGTACTAAAATCCATTATAATAATAAAAATATCTGAAATCGAAGTAAATAAATGAATGTGTTTTTAGTCTATCATTTTATAATCGGGTGATTGAATATTTATTTTTATATTAGAAGAATTACAACAATTTAGCTTGCCTGTGGACATCCAGTAGTTACAGAGAAAATAATCAGTTTTGTTTAGAGGGAATTTTAAGAACTAAATTATTCCAGTTTGATTTCACTTTCTAAAGCAACTTTTTCCCTTTTTGCTTAGGCTAATAATTGTGTATTAGCTAGTTGTGGTATAGTCAATTACATACTGTGGCTTTTCTAACCATAAGTCTTTGTAAACTCCATGGTGGAATTTGCTGTAAGCAACTGAGTAGCTCCTGATTGTTAACATTTTCCACCTGGGGTACTTTGGTTGGGAGCAGCATGAAGTAATTTTCTGGAAAGTTTGCTCACTCTCAGGTGTGAGATGTGATGGGATTGGTTAGTTGGGCCACTCTGCCAGGCTCAAAAGGAGCCCTCCTAGAGGCAGAAGGCATCTCTCTGACTTCTGGCTGTGAAAGACATGCCGCTGTGAGAAACATGCTCCTAAGAGATGTGAGATGCTGCTGAGAGATGCAAGAGACATGCACTGCTGAGAGACACAGAAGACATGCACTGCCGAGAGAGAGACGTGAGAAACATGCACTACTGAAAGAGCAATGCCCTACTGAGAAGGCTGGCTGCTAAGTGAGATGCCTGGCTGTGAGAGACTGAGTGCATTTCTGAACTTGAATTGTAGCCTGTTGCCTCCCTGTTAAATCCCACAACCTGTGAGTTCTGTGTGGCCACTGCAGCAAATTACTGAACCAGCAGAGAGGTGGTAGGTGCTGTGGGAGGAATGGTTGGTGTCAGGGTTGGTGAAAGTGCTGGAGCAAGGCAGTATGTCTGGCCTCACAGGAATAGGCCTTGGGCTACTGATGGTGATTCATTCTTCCTCTTCTGGGGTTAGAGGAGATCAGAAGACGTGGCCTCCTTGCCCCTTTGGCACCAGTACAATGATTTCATTCATACATCATGACTCAATCAGCTTAGTTCAATAAAAATTCATTGAGTATCATAAACAAGGTTCTGCTAAGCTTATAGTGCCTAAGGCATTTGACTGCTAACCAGAAGGCTGGTGGTTCAAACCCACCAGTCACTCCTGGGAAGGAAGATTGGGCAATCTACTTCCAGGGAGATGCTCTCTTGGAAACCCAAGGAGGGGTTGCTATGAGTCTGAAACCACTTGACAGCAGTGAGTTTTGGTTTTTTTTTTTTTTTTGGTTAAGACTTGCAGAGACACAGGCATAGTAGCAACTAAATGATAAAGCAGGGAAAGTAAGATCAATACCATAATAAAGTTATGAAATGCTATGTAATCATAATATGGAGGCAATTATTCCAGTTGAGTACATGTGTAATGGAAACTAAGATTGAATGTCTACATTGAATATACCCCAGGTATTGTTTATAGACATTTTATTCGATCCGTAGCAAATTGATAGGTATTATGAAGTTTAGCTTAGTTTTTAGAAGTACCCTGAATATTTTTTTCTTTGCTAATATGATTTTCTTTGGTATGTGATTCGGTAATAAATATTTTTTTGATATATGATGCCTTAAATTAAAAAAAAAAGTAACAATCCACTTTCAAAATAAATAAAACAAAAGGCTTTGTAGGCTCGAAAGGAAGATTCATAAGATTTGAACAGAACAATGCAAAGCAAAGACACCCAGTGGACTTGGCCCAGCTGATGATTACAGCCACCACAGTATAGGCACCTCCTTTCATGTATCTCGGAGGAACATGCCAAGGTCCCAGCTCTCCATGCAGCCGAGCCATCAGGACTGGGGTCAGGGATCATCCATCCTGAGGACTTACATAGCAATGTAGCAGCCTTTAGGTCTTTGCACACACATTGCCTCATAAGCTCTTTTCCACTCTTACCTGGTGACTACCCCTTTCAGCTCTAAGCTTGAACGTCATCTCCTCTGAGACAGCTTCCCTGTGCCTCCCCCACAGTCTGAATTAGGGTTGCACCCTACACTAACCCTTTTGTAACATCATTTCTCTCCACAACTCTGCAGTCACCTTTCAGGCAGGATTTGTGGTCTGTTCAACCCCTAACACCATACTGTTATACTGTAGATGGTCAGTAAATATTGGATTGATGAATGGTTTAGATTTTTTACCTTGTTATGACATATCTGTGTCTATTCTCAGCTATTTCTTATTTCTAGCCTTGTCCTAAATGGAATTTCTTTCATTTCATTTGGCCACCTGAAGCTACAAATTTTCTTCCAGATTTTTCAGTTTTTCTTTTGTTCTCAGATGATAGATGTGATTTTCTTCCTGGCTATCTCCAAAACTGAACATAGCTAGATTCCGTTAAAAATATACCATATCTATAATTAGGAGTCCCTGGGTGACACAACTGATTCAAGTGCTGGGCTATTAACGAAAAGGTTAGTGGTTTGAAAACATCCAGAGGCACCTCAGAAGAAAGGCTTGGTGATCTATTTCTGGAAAATCAGCCATTAAAAACCCTATGGAGCACAGTTCTATTCCCACACACATAAGGTTGCCATGAGTCAGAATCAATGGCAACTGGTATAATTTTGTATCTTGGTAAGTCTCCATGCCATACTAGTTTTTTACATTTAAGAAAACTTACCTGAGAGTGTACAAATCTCAATATCTAGGACAGAGAAAGGAGAGATGAGCGAATAAGGCTTTGTTCCCATATGCAAGCCAGTAAGAGCCCTCTTAACCATGAGCTTAGGTGATGGCATGTGCTTTGAGCTTGCTGATTTTGTATCTTGCTACCACTAAATGGATCCTAATGTAATAGGATCAAATCCAGTCCTGCCACTTAATAGCTCCTAACCTTAAGCTGAGAAGCTCTAGGGGCAGAGTGGTTAAAGTAATCAGCTGCTAACCAAAAGGTCAGCAGTTCAAACCCACCACACACTACAAATATGTGGCAGTCTGCTTCTGTAAAGATTTGTTGTTAAGTGCCGTCGAGTCATTTCCGACTCATAGCAACCCCATGCACAGCAGAACGAAACACTGCCCGATCCCGCGCCAGCCCCACAATCCCTGCTATACTTGAGCCCATCATTGCAGCCACCATGTCAATCCATCTTGTTGAAGGCCTCCCCCTCTTTCATCGACCCTCCACCCTACCAAGCATGACATCCTTCTCCAGGGAATGGTCCCTTCTGACAACATGACCAAAATAGGTGAGACGAAGTCTGGCCATTCTTGCTTCCAAGGAGCATTCTGGCTGCACTTCCTCCAGGACAGATCTGTTAGTTCTTTTAGCAGTCCATGGTACTTTCAGCATTCTTCGCCAGCACCACAACTCAAAAGCATCAACTCTTCTTCGGTCTTCCTTACTCATTATCCAGCTCTCACATGCATATGAGGCGATTGGAAATTGTAAAGATTTACAGCCTTGGAAACACTTTGGGGCAGATCTACTCTGTCCTATAGGGTCACTATGAGTCAGAATCAACTCCAAGGCCATGGATTTATGCTTCATCTGAGCCCTGATGGTGCACTTGTTAAGCACTCAGCTGCTAACCAAAAGGTCAGCAGTTTGAACCCATTGATATTCCACAAGAGAAAGATGTGGTAGCCTGCTTTCATAAAGTCTTGGAAACCCTATGGGGCAGTTCTACTCTGCCCTATGGGGTCACTCTGAATCAGAATTGAGTAGATGGTGATACGTTTGGGTTTTTGATTTGGAAACTCCATTTTCTTCATCCATAAAATGGGGTAATAATAGTCTCAAGCTCCTGCATTGTTAGAAGAAATAAGTGACATAATTTGTATACAGTTCTTAGCATAGTTCATGTAGTAAAGGTTTAATAAACATTAGCTATTATGGGAGCTCTGGTAGCATAGTGGCACTTGACTGCTAACCAGAAGGCTGGCAGTTCAAACCCACCAGCCACTCCTTGGAAGGAAGAAGGGGCAATCTACTTCCGTAGTGATACTGCCTCAGAAACCCAAGGAGGGGTCAGTATGAGTCGGGTCCAACTCAAGGGCACATAACAACAACAACATTATTAGATAAGGGAGCTCTGGTGGCATACTGCCTAAGGCATTTGACTGCTAACCAGAAGGCTGGTAGTTCAAACCCACCAGCCAGTTCTTGGAAGGAAGATTGGGCAACCTACTTCCATTGAGATACCGTCTCGGAAATCTTAGGAGGGGTCGCTATGAGTTGAATCAACTCGACAGCACTGAGTATTATTAGAGAGAGGGGAAAAATTCCATTTAGGATCAAAAACAGATTACTTTGTAAAGCAACATCTTTTTGGAATCCATCCAACACTGGATTATAGTGCATATTTTTGTACTGAAATGATAAAGTTTAAATCTTTTGTGGAAGAAAAATACTTTAAAACCCTGCCAAAGAATGTGAGCAGAGAATGAAAGAAATTCTCTCCACAGGCACAAAATTTTACTATAGAGTCAAAGAGTCACCCACTTTTTATTTATTTTTTTTTTACTTTAAACAGGCTAAAAAGAGAGATGAGATTCTCCAACTCTTAAGGAAACAAAGAGAAGAAAGGATCAAGGTGAGCCTGATTGTGAGGCATTTGGAAAAGTCTATCTGGAGGGATAAACTGTGGTGACTTCTCAGAAGTTTGTAGATTGACTCCTTAAATCTAGATACCCATGATCCAGAACTTTCCATGAACTGGACAGCAGGTATAAAATCAGGAAGTTTGTCAATCTTTGATAAATCAAAGATATCTCCAGAGTTTGCAGCTCTGCTGGTGTGGAAGATGAGGTGTTACTTTCAGTGGAGTTCATTGTCCACATAGTATAAATCTGTGGGGTATTAACGTAGGCTACTTCAGTGCTAATGTTTGTTTTACAATGATTGACCTAGCTTAGATCATAGAAGAATAAATGCTAATGAAGAGGAACACACTTATTAAAAAAAAAATAATAAGAGCACCCTGTAAACTTATGGATTCAAAACATACCTTCTCCTGAGAGGAATGCCATATTCTCTGATCTGGCATATTTCTGATCCCACAGTTTGCAAACTAAGAAGCTAATTTGTATAAATTCTTTTATAATTTTACCTCAGATTTGTTCAAGTGAGCAAATTTCAGTCAGTGCAAAAAGTGAAATTGTTCCTCTTTAGTTTTTGTTTTGTTTTCTTTATTTTTTAGAAAGAAATGATTTCCCGTCATGGTAAAACCAAGGCCAAAGTACACAAAGCAACGTAAGTTTGCTTCTGTCAAGATACTCTCACCTTTCTGGTTACTGCATAGAGAAGCATTTCTTTGCCTTACTCACTTTGCCCCATATCTCAAGTCTTCTAAAAACCCACCCATGTATTAGAGATTTCATGCCTTGAATAAAATTTCTTCTCAAAGACATTAAATGTTGTAGACCTACTTGCATATCAGGAGAGCAGGTCAGCCTTGAATTTCTGTATACTTTCTCTATCCATTCTCATCCCAGTTATTGTATTAACCTGCCAACATGCCTTCCTGTCTCTACCCTTTCCTACCGATACCTACCCAACCATCTTTAGCAGGTTAGCAGGTCTTGTAGATCACCATGTGTGTGATACCGCCAATGAGATATCTACATTTTCTGAAACCAAGTTCATGTAGCAATGGCTTTATATTGTCTCAGTGATGGATTAATAGCCTAATTCCTGGAATAATGTTAGAAGAGGACCAGGTAAATGGTCTACAAGATTTTAAAGAAAACCACTATCACCAGTTAATCATTAAAGAATCCCTGATCGGACATCTCTCCATTTTGTATTGTGACTGAAAACCAATCAATTCAACTTCATTGGCAAATACTTATTTGAATACTAAATTCAGTGAAGAACAATTAGAAAGTAACAGAATTGTGATTCTGATCTCATTTGTATAGAAATTGAGTCCCATTAATGTTATTTAAGCAATACTCATAAAGTATTGATACATGTAAACTGGGCTTACAAAAAAAAGGTTTTTGTTGTTATAACTAACTACAGGGATATTTATATAAAAAATAATTGCTGAAACACTGCACAGAAATTTTATAGACAATCATTTTTGTGTCACCCCCTCTGATAGTGACACCTAGCATGTTCCACACTTGCCCTATAACCCTACCCACCCCCAGCACTTCCCTAGTGAGTCCATTGACCCTCAACAAGATGCTAATTTGCTTGTGAACCTTCTAATGCATTGAATCAGAGCTGTTATTATCATGCAGTGACAATAATGCTTTGAATCACAGTGGTTTCATCTGCACATGCTACAAGCATGTACTATTGGTGTTTTTATTGTTGTTGTTGTTGTTGTTGTTATGTGCCATTGAGTCTGACCCGACTCATAGCGACCCCTCCTTGGGTTTTTATAGCCAATGATTTTGTCAAGTTTTCTGATAGTTTAGCTACAATATTGTGGTAATCGGTATTTATGCATCCATATCAATAACTTTTTTGAGAATGAATAATTAAAAGAAAAGAAAGGGAAAAATCAAAAAGGACTTATGCTCAGTTACTAATAATGTTGTAATTAATAATATAATTCAATGTAGAAAGATTTTACAAAACAGTTCTGTTATTAGTATTCCTATAATCTAAGAAATAGTCCATCTAATCAATTTACAGCTATATTTATAACATATTATTCTATGATTAAAATTGATAATACATTACTAAGGATTCTGTATGGTCTGATATGGAAGAGAGGTTCGTGAGGGGCAGAATGACACCATGAATACCTCACTGGGTGACACCAACCCTGGTGATGCCACGGGTGAAGGTTTTCCTCTTTTTCACTGATCTTCTTCTACCTTACCAAGCATGATGTCCTTCTCCAGGGACTGAACTCCAGGGTCTCTCCTGATAACATGTCCAAAATATGTGAAATGATGTCTCACTATCATCTCTTCTAAACAGCATCCTGGCTATACTTCTTCTAAGACAGAATTAATTGCTCTTTCTTTTAGCAGTCCATGGTATATTTAATATTCTTCACCAACACCATAATTCAACTGTATCAATTCTTCTTTGGTCTTCCTTATTCATTGTCCAGCTTTTGCATGCATATGAGGCTACTTAAAATACCATGGCTTAAGTCAGGTGCACCTCAGTCCTCAAAGTGACATTTTTGTTTTTTAACACTTTAAAGAGGACTTTTGCATCAGATTTGCCCAATGCAATATGTGCTTTGATTTCTTAACTGTTGCTTCCATGGCCATTGATTGTGGATCCAAGTAAAACGAAATCCTTGAAAACTTCAACCTTTTCTCCCCTTATCATTATGTTGCTTATTGGTCCAAGTGTGAGGATTTTTGTTGTCTTTATGTGGAGGTGTAATTCATACTGAAGGCTGGAGTCGTTGATCTTCATCAGTAACTACTTCAAGTCCTCTTCACTTTCAGCAAGCAAGGTTGTGTCATCTGTCTAGGGCAGGTTGTTAATGAGTCTTCCTCCAATCCTAATTCTGTGTTCATCTTCATATAGTCCAGCTTCTTGGATTACTTGCTCAGCATATTGATTGAATACATATGGTGAAAGGATACAACCCTGACACACACCTTTCCTGATTTTAAACCATGCAGTATCCCCTTTTTCTATTGGGATCACTGCCTCTTGGTCTATGTACAAGTTCCACATGAGCACAATTAAGTATTCTGGAATTTCCATTCTTCAAACAGTTATCCATAATTTGTTATGATCGTCAAATGTCTCTGCATAGTTCAATAAAAGACAGGTAAACATCTTTATGATATTCTCTCTTTGCTTTCAGCCAAGATCCATCTTACATCAGCAATGATATCCCTTGTCCCATGTCCTCTTCTGAATCTGAGTTGAATTTCTGGCAGTTCCCTTTCCCTGTATTGCTACAACCATTTTTTAATTATCTTCAGCACATTTTTACCTGTGTGTGATACCAATGATATAGTTCAAAAATTATCAAACAATGGATATATCTACACTAGTGAAAAAATATACATATTTTGAGAAATGTAAAATATTTATTTACCTGGCTATATAGTCTACCCAATGCTCAGCAACTGAATTTCTGGCATTTTAGCCAGATGATTTGATATAGCTTCTAAGTGTTGAGCAAAACTAGTCCTATCAAAAGATTGATTGACCTGATTCAAATAATGGGTGAAGACTGCTATTTGAGTAGCATCAACAGATATGTCAGGGTGCTCTAGATTTCTGTGTGTATTTTTGCGGGAATGACTCAGAACATTCCTGCTATCGCATGTTGATCCACTCTAACAGCGAAACATCATTTCACAGCTTGAACAGATAATTCCTTTAATAATTTTAAAGCTTAGTTGCTTAACTCCTTTTGTATGTTAACTTGCTCATTTTCTTTCCTACGGTGTGAAGCCTTTGAATTTTACTCCATTTCACTGTGCCATTTCCTTCCTCTGAACTTTTTATACATTTATTGTCTGTGCCATTCTTTTGACAATTAATTGTGCACTACTTTATGTAAATATTTTTCAAGTATTCAATTGTTATGTAACTTTTCATGTATTTATGTCTTATAACTATGTTGTAAGCTGTATGAGAAATTGGGTCCCCCAAAGTGCCTACCCACACTGCCTATGTGTAGGAATTCATAAAATATTTATAACAAAAATTTTCACTCAACAATATCACATAGTTCATTATTAGCTAATTTAGAAAGTTAATTTATAAGCATTTTTTAACATTGTAAATATTTCAGACACAGTTGTAAAATGCCTTAACTTAGCTCTCTTTTTCCTCCCTCCATCCTTTCTTTCTTTCCAAACCCCCTGCGTACTCAGATACACACTTACCATCCTTCCCCCAACAAATCTTCTCAGGATGATCTGGGTTCCCCTGTCAAAAAGAAAGAGCTCAAATGTATGTTCATAATAAGGTTTTAGTAGTAATATGTTTATTATGCATCTGAGGAATATTTGCTTTTAAAAGAGTACTGGCATAGGAATAATGGATAATCCAAAGAAATGGATTACCAATGATGAAATCTCAAAAACTGGACTGTGAACAAAACATGTTTGGGTCAGAGGTCTTCTCCCATGCCCTTCAAATCATATTCTGCAGTGTGTTTCCTATAAATAAGGACATGTAGCTGAACTGCATTTCTCCTAATGGCTCTGCCTTTAGCACTTAGAGACTAGACTCAGCTTTAGTAAGAGGCCACCCTTGTATCCAGTCTCTGGAAGAAGAGAGAGGAATAGTACATTTCTTCAGATTCAATTTCTCCCACATATAAGTTTATACTTCATTGCAAGTAAACCTAATTCATAATCAGAATCCCAAGACAGCGAACTTCTACTAGAGAAATTTTCAAAAATTGTTTTCATGCTATGGTGTGTTCAAAACTACAGAGTTCTGTGTATTGGAACTAATTTATGTTACTATCAACAGGAAAGTGGTAACAGAGTCAGATGAACAAGATCAAGAAGAAGTCAAAGCCTTGGACTAATTTGATTGACATGTGGTGGAGGAAGACTTACTTACATCTTCACTTTTGAAACAACCTACTCTTATTATCAGGATCATTGGGATCATTCATTAAAATGGACAAAGAAATAAAGGTTAAATATGCAAAGTTCTCAGCATTTAACAGCTATTGAATATTTGTGTTTATATTACTTATTGGATGCTATTGTGTTTGAAATCACTTTGAGTTGGAATTTGACTTGATGGCAGTGGGTTTGGTTTTTGGTATTTGACATTGCACAATAATCATCTCTATCCTCATATCTTCTCAAAGTCCTACTTATCATGTTCGTATTTTAAGGTTATTTCTGTAATTTCTAGATTTAACCCATATTATGAATAACAAATGAGCTAGAAACAGGAGCTTTATGCACCCCAATCTGTGGACCACCAATGAATATAATTAGTAAGAAAATAGGGATGAAAAGACAATTCCTTAACATTTTTTTACTTTAATAATAATAATAATAATATAACTTCTCCCAAATTTCATTTATTCAGTTTCTGGAACATGTCTGAAATCATTACCAGAAATGAATTACTTCGGATTTTGTGAATAACTGACATATTGTGCCCATGACTTAATATACATATGAGGAGGTGCCAACCTCCTCACTTTCAAGGGCCATTTCCTTTTGTATCTATTGGAAAAGAGAAGGCTAATTGTATGAATTGCCCAACTGACAGACCTAATCAGAGTTGTATGCTCTTCCCTGGTGCTCGTGGCTCTACTCAGGACCACCATTCACTGTTGGCCTCCACGTGAACTCCTTGGCATAACCGCCTAAGATGCTGCTCTATTCCACAACGCCACCAGAGAACAGGGTGTGGGGCCCACCATACTTACCTCTATTCCTCGCCCCTTTTATTTTCCCACCACATCAAGACAGTCAGTCTCAGACTTTACTAAAGTAAAGTAATGGGAATTACAAAGAAAAGAAGGGAAATCCTAAAATTTAATAGGCTCAATGTTTTTTACCTAAATTAAGGGGTAAAGAACCAGGAATTTAAGTTCTCAGAGGAGGTTTCCTTGGGAGTACACCTGTTTCTGACCTTGCTCTGCTATCCTCATTGTACCTCCTATGCCTGGCCCATTTACATCCTTTTAGGAAATTCCACTTGTTCCTACCCACAGAATCCATTTCCGCTTCCTCCCTCAAGCACTGCTTTGACCCAATTATTTAATCCATAACTGTCTTCAGCAGTACAGTCAACCCAGCTCCTACAGAGCAGGATAGTCTAGGATCATAGAAAGAGAATCCTAAAAATAGAGCTTTTGTACTTCAAGTTCCCTAGCACAGCCAAGAATAATCATGAGTTATACTCCAAGGCCAGTTATACTACTAATTACCCAATAACCACTATTTGAATCACACATACATGCACACACACACAGTTAGCAAGAACAACCATTATTTTACAGGACATTACAATCTAAGTAAAAAGAAAGGTAATTTTTTTTTTTTAGCTGCAAGGCCAATATTCTCCAAGAGTTCAACTACTATTCAGGTTCAAATCCACCCAGAGGTGCCTTGGAGAAAGGCTTGGCAATATACTTCCAAAACACCAGCCAATGAAAACCCTATGGAGCACAGTTCTACTCATACACATGAGTTTGCCATGAGTTGGGGTTGACTCAGTGGCAACTGGTTTTACTATGTAGAGAAGTATTCATTTTCTTCATGTAGCTACTAATTCTTTTGAAATTATTCCACAACTGCTAATCAAAAGGTTGGCAGTTTGAACCCATCCAGGGGCACCTCAGAAGAAATGCCTGGCAATCTACTTCTGAAAAATCACAGCCTTGGAAGCCTTGTGGAGCACAGTCCTACCTTCCAACACATGAGGTCACTATGAGTCAGAATCAACTTGACATCAATTGGTTTGTCTTTGTTTTGTGTTTCTCATAAACAAGAAAGGACATATTGCTGAATTGAATTATACTGATGGCTCTCCCTAACCACATAAAGACTAGTCTCAGCTTTAAATACTCATTCTCATATCCAGTCTCTGGGGGAAGAGAAAGGAATTGGTACCATTCTTCAGATTCAACTTGTATTAAGACTTTTTTTCCTTACCAAAAAAAAAAAGTTTTGCCTAGCCACCCTTATCATAAACCAATTGTTTTCTACATTTGTTACAAAATGTTTCTTTATTTGGCATATTTATTCTTTATGATATCAGTCCTAGTCAAGGGCTACTTGTCAAAATATAGGGGTTACAGTAAAGTACCCACTCAGAACTTGGAAATAAGGAAAATGAAGTTAACCTTAGTGTTTAACTAGTAAAATTCTCACATAACAATTTTCTATCTGAAACAGTAAACCAAGAGATTATCTCAAATTTATATCTAAGAAATTGGGGAATTTCTGAAATACCAGTTAACAATCATCTATAATATAGATTCTAGTAATATAGTAAACAGAAACCAAATAAATTGTTTAGTATCCATATTTTTTAGTATATTGGTTCAGCTGCTGTAACAGAAACCCAAAGCAAAGGGCTTAAATAAGGAAGAGGTTTATTTCTCTCTCAGAGGGAAAAAAAAGAAAAAAGTCAGATAGGCAACCCTGGCTAATATGGAAGCTCTACAATCATCAGTGACCCAGGATGCTCCTATCATGCTGTTCTACTATGTCAACAGCCTGCTTCCATCTCGTGTGTAAGCATGACTGTCCAGGTCCCCTATTACGTTCATATTTGAGCAAACAGATGGAGGAAAGGGAAAAGAGCACCCCACCTTCCTTTAAAGGTATGACATGGAAGTTGAATATAGCACTTCTTCTCACATCCCATTGGTCAGGACTTAATCACAGAGCCACAATAAGCTACAAGGTAGGCTGGGAAATAGTCTTTAGATGGGAGGTCATCTGCCTAGTTGAAATTTAGGGACTCCATCATTTAAAGGAGTGGAAAATATATTAGGAGACAATTAATAGTGCCACAGAATACTATTTGATGAAAAAAAAAAAATTGAACAGAAGGAAGGTAATCAGACTAAGAAAAGAGAAGATGTGAAAAGTAACAAGTTGGCAATGTCCTCCTAAGTACTACAAGAATAAATGGTGCTTTCAAAAGGTACAGACAACAAAGGTAAACACTTTTACACACACCATACTGCATTATTAGTACTAACAAACATCAATCTAAGGGTGAATACATACATAGACTGGCTAAATAATCAGGCAAAAGGGAATATATCCATGATCATATATAAGTTTGACAGACAATATTTCTATATATGTACTCATATGTGCTATAAGAATGTCCAGATACATAATAGAACTAATAGAGGGCAAAGTTATAATAACTTCTTAGCCACAGCCAAACACCATGAGAGAGAGAATCACTGGGCTCATGGCCTTGGGACCATGGTTGTGTGCACATCAAGCTCAATTGGCATAACATGCTACAAAAAAAATTGTTATATATTAAAAAAAAAGATGTTGCTTTGGTGCATAGTGACTGGGGTCTTAAAAGCTTGCAAGCTGCCATCTAACATGCAACAATTGGTCTCTTCTCCTCATCTGGAGCGAAGAAGAACAAACAAAATTAAAGACACATGGAAACAATTAGTCCAAGGGACTAGTGGACCATGGGAACCTCTGTCTACAGGACCCTGAGACTAGAGGAACTAGATAATGCCCAGCTACTACTGACAACCACTTGAAAAAGGATCAAAATAGGAGATCTTGGATAGAGTGGGAGAAAACTGTGGACTAGAACTCAAACTCATAAAAAAAAAAAAAAAAAACCAGGCTGGTGGGAAAAGAAAAAAAGATTGGTGAAGCCTCTGAGACAATGGCCCCTAGTCACCCTTCAGGTCTGGAATTGAACTCACTCCCATGGCTTCCAGCCAAACAATAGACAGGCCTACATGGTGAATAATTACACCAGGTAGGTACACTCCTTAGAACAATCAGCCACAGAAGATCAGAAAGGCAGCATTTGCACAGGGAGTTAGCGCAGAAGGCAAGAATGCATAGGAAAGAAGGACATGGGGAAAAGGTAACCATAGGGAGGAAATGGGAAAAGCTGTCACATTGTGGGGATTGCAATCAATGTCATGAAACAAAATGTGCATTAACTGTTGTATGGAAAATGAATTTGTTCTATAAACTTTCACCTAAATCTATATATCCTAAAAAAGTGAGAGCTGTGACAAGAACAGACATATGCACACCCACGTTCATTGCAGCACTATTTACAATAGCCAAATGATGGAAACAAACTAGGTGTCCATCAACTGAGGAATGAATAACCAAACTATGGTACATACACACAATGGAATACTATGCAATGCTAAAGAATAATGTAGAATCTGCAAAACACCACATAAC